AAAAAGCACCGTTGTGTGTGGATTCTCTTAGTTATATGTTAACGTTGTACAAATAAGTGATTTCCAAGTGGCTGTTCTGTCACCTAAAATCGCCGCGTTTGAATATTCCTGGCATTTCTTAGAAACAGCTGACCGAGACTTGCAATCTGTTCCTGCATTGTAGTTAGGTGGTCCTTGAACGGGTTTCCTGGGGGCCGAGGGGGACAGTTGACAACGTGAGAGCAGCGAGGCTCGGGTGCCACCAACAGTGTTTGGTTTGGCTATGTGGAGTTAAATGTTAACTCCTGTGAAGAAAGAGCCTTCGGAGTTGAGGCTTCGGAAAAAGCTGATTCATTTGGCTTGGCTTTACTTGTGTTTTCTGTGAGACTAGAACCTAGCACTTTCTGTGGCCATTGTATTGAAGAATCTGAAAAGCCACGTTGCGGGAGAGGATGGCTGTCAGCTTCCAGCTGGGAAAGTCCTGACTCTGAAACCTTTGTGGGTGACGAAAACATCTCCCCACGACCGTTCCAGATAGGTACTGTGGAGCCCCTAGAAAGCATAGTGCGACCTGCGACACCCAGCCTCCAAGCAGCAGCACCGTGTGCGCCCCGCGACTCCACAGGAGGGTGAATGGGAAGCGCCCGCGTGGTCCAGAAAGGGAAGCGGGGGGCGGACAGATGGCTGCAGGGCGCTGACTAGATGAATCCACGTTCACTGGCCCGCAGACTGGGCCTTTTCACACGTGGCCTCTTATTCGACACTCAAGTTATAAAAATATAATAACAATTGGCCAGTTGGATATTTGCGTTTTATAACGTGGTCTCGGAGGTCGAGCGACATGTTCCAGGTCCCACTGCTAGTATTGATCATCCCATGAGATTTTATTAAAATGGACACTGCGGGCCGCCTCGCGGGTGGACAGGGAAAGGCCTCGTGGAGCGTATGTTTGCGCAGAGGAAGATAGTGCGTTTGGAGACAGCCGCTGAGACCGATGAAACGCCGAGAAGCAAAGAAAGTCATGTGACGTGACTGTGACTGAGATGGAGTACGACGAAGGCCTTTCTGAGGAGATGACACAAGCTGAGCCCCGAATGACTGACTGACTGACTGACTGACTGACTGAGTGAATGAATGAATGAATGAATGCATAGGAAGCAGAACGTGCCAGCTCAGGGAGTGAGCTCGGCTCATCAGGTGGAGGGACCAAAAGGAGCGGGCGAGAGAGGAGTCGGGGGCAGTTGACGAGGGTTTCGTAGCCAAGGGAAGGGAGATGAGGGAGATTTTATTCTGACGAAAAGCCGCCGAGGTCTTGATTACGGAAAGGAAGTTTTCTGACTTCGCCAGTAATGACAGAGTCAGCCGGAAGACAGATGCGACTCGGGCCGCTGCCCACTGGAAGTGTCAGTGTGGACACGGCTCTCTGGCGCGCTCGGCCTCTGACGACTCTTTCCAGGTGTCCTCGTGTTCATAAGCTCAGTTTGTGGAATTCATATAGACAGAAACGTGACTGTGTTATTCGAATCTGATTTGAACGACCCTATTCTGTCCCTGAGAAGAGCCTCAGGTCAGGGGACCCAGTGCCACAAATCTCGCCGGGAAGCGGGCCAGCGTTGCTCTGCTTCCCCTCGCTGACACCTGCAGGGGGCGGAGTTGCCCACACAATGAACCAAAGGGACAGCTGGTTTGAAAGCTGACGACTGACATCCTCATCGGCTGCCTTTGGCCGACTTCTGAGTGGGTTTACACCGACGGGCAGAGTAAATGTGGCGAACTCAGATGAGCCTAGTGAGTTTAACACACACTTACGCGTGAGGTCACGTGCCGTGGCACCCAGTCACCCGACTCAGCCGCCGCCATCAAGGTGGGTCCACATTCCAGGCAACCTGCGAGAGAGTTGCTAGCTGAGAAGCTGGAGTCTGCGGATCGAATCGTCTAGTTACTGAGGGGATGGGAGACCCTCACCTAACCATGGGGACAGGGACCCCAATCTCAGTGTCCTGGTCCCTAGTTCATCCAGGTTTCCGAAAGCAGAGGACAGAGCCGAAGGAAAGACGGCCGCGCCACGGGCAGCTCCAAGCTGCAGCGTGGAAACCGGCTCCTC